GAAGAAACAAAAGGTATTTGCTGACGTGGGCGTTGGACACGGACGCCCGAGGGCTGGGGACACACAATTAAAGGGGCAACGCACCCCGTCGGAAGCCGCAGACCCGGAGCCCGGCCCCGGCCCCGGGAGCACCCGCGGGATGCCCCGCAGGGGAAATGGGGATGCCCCCAAAATGCCGCCTTTTCGCACCTTTATCTACCCGGCGGTGACCCAAATCCTTCCCCCCCTTTTCTCCCTCCGAAGGACATGTGACATCTTCTTTTCTCGGTTGGGATCTGTTATCTCGCGTCTGAAAGGCGAAACCCGAACCTCTCTCGCTTTCTCCCCTTCCAAGTTTGGTTATCTTTTTTTTTTCCTTCCTCTTCTTACCACCAGGGCCTTTTTTTTTCCGTGCTTTTCGCGCCCCAGTTATATCCCATAAATATTTATTTTCCCATGGAAGCCATTCTGCCTTAACCGTGTCCTTTGTGTCCTTTTTGCCCTTCCCTTCCATGAGCTGCAGACATTCCATCCAACCTGGCCTTGGACACTCCCAGGGATGGGGGAGCCACAGCTTCTCTGGGCAACCTGTGCCAAGCTAGGAGGGCACAGTTTCTCTGGGCAACCTGTGCCATGGCCTCCCCACCCTCACAGGTCTCTCTTTCAGAGAACAATTTACAAATGACTCTAAAAAACCCAACGTTCTTCTTGCTGGTACAACCTCCTCCCCAGATCATCCCCATCCCTTTGCTCACCCTCTGATGGCCCTTGGCTGCCCTGCTCTGCTTTCCTGCTTTTCTTCCCCCACAAAAAGTCCTTTTCACCAAGGATGGAGACAAACCTGTGGCCCTCATTCCCCGGAGTGCTGCAGCACCTCACATCTTCCGTGGAAAAAGATGGAAAACCTGTGTGCTTGCCACGAGATTTATATTTCCTCTCTGAATGAAAACAGTGAAAAGCAAGAAAGGGTTGTTACAGTTTTCAGTGACTCGGGATATTCTAAATCAACAGGGAAATACAGTTTTGTTTGTGGATTTTCCAGTATAATTCAAAATTATCTGGAAAGAATATTTGGGAGTCTGTTGCCCCCACGTGCTTTTCCTCCTAGCTCAGGTCAGTGGCTGCTTCCCAGCATGAAAAATGAAAAGCTTTAGAGAGTTTAAAAAGTTCAATTAATATAAAACTACAAAGACTTCAGAAAGCCAAGTCAGTGTTCATAATACAAAAGATTTCCTAAAAAACCCACTTGGCTGGGGTTCAAGTGGACAGGATCCTTTTAGTCCTTTCCTACCAAGAACCTGATTCTTCTTGCAAACTGTCTGTCCCCAGGAATGGATATACCCATTTTTTAATTGGGTTAATTAAGTGGAGATAGTTATTTTGTAATTTTAATTCCAGAAACTGAAACGTGAGCCTTAATCTAGACACTCCCAGCTTTACTCAGTCAACATCTGAATGGTAAAAAAATCAAAGCAACCCTCTCAGAGAGTTTTATTTTCTAGACAATCAAAAAAACTCCAGAATGCTCCAAGATCCACAAATATAGTTCAGTCACTCCTACAAATAAGGTTCAGTTTATAAGAATCTGTCATTTTAACTGGACTAAAGGACTTCAGTTATGAAACTGTCTTACAAAACATCAGGAAATCAAATGACCACGTTTGGAAGATTTACAAGGGCTTGCACCAAGAGGTTAAATGAGCTACAAATACCAGTGCAGCATGTATTCCTCCAGTGAAATACAGTGCAATTATGTGCAAAAATACATTAAAATGTACATTCCTAAACAAAGTCAAGTACATCAAGCTAAGACTTGAAGATATGTCGTTCTGCACGGCCTTTAAAAACCTTTGAGAAAGAGATTGCATTAAAAATAACTTTCCTAAAAACATTATTTTTGATTCTTCACCGAGCACCATTTCAAAACAGCCACATCATTTTCTCAAAGCTTGTAGAGGCTGGATCTACAACGGAAGATTTCAGGGAAAAAACACCCAAAAAACTAAGTGGAAAGCACGAGAAAAAACAGATTTACATGAACACACCCCCCCTCCCAGGTCACAAGAATGTGGGTAAACTACATCCTCTTCTACTACAAAGGCTGAAGGACTCCATAGGAAACAAAGCAGCACAACATGACAATTCCAACAGGAAACACGAGTTTGGTGGTGACTTTCCACGTGGAATGTGCACGGCCAACCCCCCCCTCCCCTCACCCCTCACAGCTCCATTCTCTAGGCACAAGACACACAAGAACAATCTCTAAGACTAAAGAAGAGCAGGTTGAAGGAAAAGGTCTCTGCAGACACACCTGCAGCTCCCTCCCAACACTCAGACTTCCCAAGGGGTTGGTTTTCCCTGCTCTGAGTGTCCCCACGGGCTCAGCCAGGAGCTGCATCTTCCCACAGCTGTGGAGCACTGGCCAGAGCCAGGCTGGGCTGATATTCCATGTCTAGTGGCTTCTACCAATATTTACAATGAGGTGGCACCTTCACGACCAGAAATGGGGATGTCTGGTCACCCAATGTCCTTTTGGATCCCTATTTACATTCCACCAGTCTCCCAACAAACCCAGATCCCTCGTGTCCCTTTTTCAGGTGCTCTCACATGCACAAGTCCCTCCTTCATCAGACAAGCAGATACCAAACAAACACCCCTCTGATGTTGGAGGGACTCACCAAAAAATCGAGCAGGAGCCCAGAAGTCCCAAAAGACAAGCCCTGGGAGGCTGGAGGTGGCATTTTCAATATTCCAGCAAGATTTACAAGCCCACCTCTGGCTCAGATTTTCAAGAGCACTAAGGACCCCAAAACCACAGCAGGATTTTCAGAGGAGCTCAGCTCCAAGTCTGGCACCTACATAAGTTGTCCCTCTGATGGTTTAAATTCAGATGGACTAAAACAGGGTTAAATCAGAGGGCTCTTTGCTTTTTTTTAGGTTTGCCAAGAGCGAAGCCTTTACACCAAAAGCCTCAAGAAACACTGCCTTAAGTGGGAGGAACTGCTCATCCTTTGTCAGCCAAATCTGTCTGCAGATCTGTCCAGCCTTTGCTCCAGCTAGAAAGACTCACAAAATTTGCCTTCTCATGAAACACTTATGAACAGCAGAGTAAAGAAGCATTAACAGTCTTATTTCACAGTATATTTCAGTTTTGCCCCTTCCTTAGGGAACAGGAGGTCACCCCTAAGCCAACAGGTGGTGTGTTTTCTTCCAAAGCTTCCCAGCCTGATTTTTTGATAGCTTATATCAACTTGCTACTGGAAAGGTAACAAATCTCACCTCCTTTGAAAACCTTGAGCTATCCCAGCAAAGAAACAGGAGGTTCACAGTGGAGGTGTTTGTGTTTTTTTAAAAAATAAATAAATACTCAGGGAAATTCACACAGCAACATAAACCATGAGAAGGATCCCCAAATTCTAAAAGAAATTATAGTGAAAGGGATTCAAAAAGGGTGTTCAGAGCTCTGTTACAGCAGATCTGGATACTTCACTGCTCCTCAGCCACACCAGCTGTGGATCTACTTTTTAATCTGTCAGTGTCAGAATTCCCAAGGAACCTGCTCGACAGCTTTTAACTCCTGCTGTAAAAAGCTGAAGAGAATTTGGGCATTTCACACTTCTAAACCAAGAGACCAGGCCACCAGACACCATAATTTGCTTAATATTTCTCAAGCCAAGACTGCTGATGTCTAAGTGACATTAAAGACACATCTGAAGATCTGCAGCCCGAGCTCTTGAGAGAGGAAGATGCAGTAAAAATTCAGGAAGAGAAACTTGATCTCCAAATTCCTGCGATTAAGGACACGTGAAATACAACTATTCTTACTGTCTATCCCTTCAGCAGCAGCATATTTTTGTTATCCTGGTTTTTCTGCCCTGGTTTCCAGGTCAAACCCAGTCCAAGCAAACACTCCTGGTTTACAGTTTAGGTAATACTGTCCTAACACAGAAGGATCACAGTTTAAAGATTTAAAAAGTCCCAAGGTAAGAGATGTAAACTACATTTCATGTCATCTTCAGGCGTAAACTACATTTCATGTCATCTTCACAGAGAAGGTGGTGCCCCTTTCAGGTCAGGGATTGAGGACCACAACAGCACTGTTTGAAGAAACCTGTTATCAAAACAACACAGAGATGTCCCACCACCTGCAAACTCAAAACCAGAGAGGCAGAGAAATTGCTCAAGTCCAAGCTCTGCGAACCCCAGACAGGAGATTCTTCACAGATTTCTGGTGCACAGCACTGAAAACTTAAAAAGCGTTAAAAATTCCGATTTTCCCCACCGTTCTATTAAAACAAAAAAAAAGGAATAAAAACCAGCACAGTGTCACTAAATGGGGCAAACGTGCAGTTTTCTGTTGCTGCCAGGGGAGGCTCCCAGTGCTCCCTCTCCCCTCCCACTGCTACATCAGCGCTTCCCTGTCCGACAAACTCCTGTGGATCTCCTGCTTGTCATCCCCCTCCTCCTCCTCCTCCTCGTCGGCCGGGTCGTTCTCCTCCCCGGATTCCACGTAGATGGGCCAGTCGCCGTCGGCATCCCCCTTCTCCTGGCCCTCAGAGGCCGTTTCCACGAGGCTGAGGTTGATGGGCACGGAGTCCTCGTGGGTGGTGGTGACGCACGTGCAGCTGTCGCAGAGCCCGAAGCGCCGCAGCCCCGGGGACAGGCTGTTGGTGAAGGTCCTCCTGCAGCCCTTGCAGATGATGGGCTTGTTGGAGCGGTGAACCTGCAGGGAAAAAAGGGAGGCAAGCTGGGATAAAAAAAATAAAAAAAAAAAAAGGCAGCAACCTGCTAGTTTGGAAATATTTCCCAGAGTGGGGAAGCGGCTACGCTGGAGCTGAAGGGGGGG